TTATCACTCAGTAAGTAAAAACTATCTTCCAGACTGTATTTCATGGTCTTTTCCACTCCCCACAAAAGGCTATGTAAGAAAAGTCAAGCAAGGGCATCTCTAATATGACACAAATACGAAAGTGCCTTTAAATTATTATTTTTCTCCCTATTAAAATCTTATCATTAATTGACCAAATATATCAGTAAAATGAGACAAATACAAATTAAACAATTATTCAAATTTGATGAAAGGATTTTCAGGACAAAATTTTATAAAAAAAAAAAATTATTACTCCCTACTTTGCTTTCTTAATACCATCTCATTTGTATTGAGACACCAGTTTTCCTAGGATTAATGATAAATTTCCAAAATGATTTTATCCTTAAAAGTATGTTCCTACATTCCAAGTGTGAAAAATAAATAAAAGTCAAGGGTCAAGCCAGAGAAATAGTTAAAACAAAAGTATTACAAAAAATCAGCATATACACATTGCTGAATCAAGTCAGTAGTAATACTAGCTACCATACATTGATTGTTCTCTGCCATAATAACTATCAGCATTATATCCACACTGGGTTGAGCAGGGCATGCTTTTTGCTTTCCCATGGTGCATTCTGTTCTTCCTAACTATGACTGTGTGTCCACATACCAGTTAATAAATTACACATACTTAAACCGCTTCCATACCTACAGATTCAATAACTATGCTACCAGCACTCAAAGATTATGTTCTAATAGTTCTACATTCTACTGTTCTAATAGACAATTCAAGCTATTACTAAATAGAGAAAAAGAGTATGGTAAGAAAAAAATACAGGTATGACTAGAATTTAAATACAGTGTTTCAAAGTAGTTGAGAAGCAAATGAGAAGATGTAAAAAACTTTTAAACTTAAATATGCTATATGTAGATGCAAGTTTTTATATATGTATGTATTCTTTTTAAAAATAGTAGTGATCATACAGCCATGATAAAAGTTTTGCTTAACAGTATAAAATTGCTTCAAGTCTTTTGTGTATAAAATGGAAGGTAATACAATCTATGTCACTCCAAATGTAAGCGATAATTAGTGCTTTCAATTCTATGGGAGAAAATGATGAATAAATGTAAAAACATATACCAAATCTAAGAACAATTATGCCTTTGGTTCAGTTTTATGAGGAGTCGCCATAAAATGATTTAAACCTCTTAAAAGGTGCCATTAAAAAATGTTTCCAAGTCACTACTTCAATATGTAAAATGTCCATAATAACAAAAATCACTCATTTAAACAAACACACAGTCCCTAATTAGTATGTTTCTCACTCCTTCAAGGAAGAAGCAATAACATAGTGAACAGACTGACAGGGCCACCAGAAATGAAAGGACATCTGTAATTATTTAAATTATCTATCTTAAGATGAATTTCAAAAAGCAAATCTAATTCTATTATGTTGTCAATAACAGTGAAGTAGAAAATTAAAAAAAAAAGTTCAGATCAAACTTCAAAAACAATCATCATGAATTCAAAATTCTCCATCACTACCAAAAATTTCTAAAACCAATTTAGATTGTTTTATTTTGAATGCCATATTCAAAAACCTTTAAAATTCATCATAAATATAAATATATTTCACTTACAGACTCAGGTTATAAAAGGCATTTTAGATCTGGATTTGTCAATACTGGTCTGCCAGTAGCTTTACTAAAAAAGCATCTTCTCCTGCGTTCCAAATTATAAGTAAAACACTAAATCAGATTTAAGAAGAAAGAAAGGGGGATTTCTAGAACATATAGTAGTAACAGTAATGAAGTACTGAAGAAATCTAACTTACTATTATCTTAATATCCTTCTGGATAAATCAAGTTAAACAGTACAATTAATTCAACCAGAACCATATATATGTATGTGTGTGTGTGTATATATATAAGTATATATATGGACAGAAAGGCAGGATTTTTGTTTCGAATGAGTAGTAAAAACAGTTATGCAACCCCCAATTTAGTATGTCAATATCTTTGTTCATAGTCCTTTATACACTTTCATTCTTTTTAAACCTCAGTATGTAGTATTTGAAGTGCTGCTATATAATGTAACATTATCAGACTGTACGCTATACTAATACTTTGCCCTAAATTTCAATACAAAAGCCCGCAGCTAAATCAAAAATCACACTGTATAAACGCATTGTTCTGATAGCACTTAAAAAAATACTCCAAGAAAACACCCATCTCTCCCACAATAAAGCCACTCAAAATCTGAGAGGTCAAATATGAAATAATTTTAATCAAAAATACAACTGGTGAATACTCAGTTTCCAGCCATTACACTTCTTTTCCTTCTGTTAAAATTCTCACTCAGTCCTGTCCTATCTTCCCTTAACAAAGAAATCTTTGGTAGAGAACGAGCATTTTGCATCAAAATATTGGATCCCGATGTGAAAAAATGAAAACCTAAGTGTACAACATAAAAAATTTAAATTAGGGGCCTCCCGGGTGGCGCAGTGTTTGAGCACTGGGTTGTGAAGCAGCGCCTGTTGGATCCCTGATCCCGGGCTGCTCCCCGGCCACTAGAGGAGGGTCCCACATGGCGCTCAGACCTCTCTGGCCGCCCACAGACCTCTCCTGCCGCCCGCTGCTCCCCTCAGCAGTGTACTTTGGTCCTTCTGCCTGCTCTGCTCCCTGCTCTGGCGAATTCTCTCACCCTCCCTCGCTTCTGACTGTACCCAGTGTTTGTATGAATAAATAAATAAATCTTTAAAAAATTAAATTAAAAACAAAAACAATATACTATCTTTAGATTATGTTCAAACAATAGAAGAAATTCTCTGTATATAAAGTTTTAAAACGTATAAGGAAACAAACACAGAAAAAAAAAAGAAAAAGGTGAAAAGCAAGTATATGTAGGGATATAAAAATGGATTAACATAACTGGTTCAAGTTAAGCCCCTCTACAAACGGAAGAAAAGAGGTGATTAAGTCAAGTAGAGGCTATTTTCACCTATTAAAGCCACCGAAAGATTAAAAAATATAAAACTCCCTCTAAGTATCCAGGATGGTGACATTATAAATTAGTACAATCTTACAAGATGAGACTTTCTGACCTGATAACTCCCCTTCAGAACTATAGCCCAGGAAAACGATCTACACACACACACACACACACACACACACAGCAGAAAGGCTACTTAATTATGCAAAGATAATGAAAAACTGGAAGTAACCCAAATGCTACACTCAGCTCAAATCAAAGCAAGTTAAAAACAACTGAATCTTTTTCTACCATTAAAACAGAAATGACTATTCAAATATAGATAAGTATATGTACAGAAAATACAAACCATAGAATGGACATTGATTACAATTACAGAACAATATGCCATTAAAATATAAGGAAAGGAAATCCAATTATATCAGTTTTGCTTTTTGTATTTTTGTATGTGGTTAAGAGACTCCATATTTTTAATTATTTTAATGTTCACTTATTTCATCACTGTCAAGTTGATTTTTATAGTGTTTTACTTTTTAAGTTTCCTTTTGCCACCTGCCTAAAATGGTGTGTTTAGACACAAATGTAAACGAAAACATTTTCAATACACCTCAGTATAAAACTGTATCTTTAAAACCACATTAGTCATAAAGTGTTAAAACATATTAGTATAGTTACTGTTGGTTTTGCACCTTTTTTGACAAGACTTAAGTTCAACAAAAGGTCTGACTACAAATTAAATAAACTGAGAATACATGCAGATTTTTCAGAAATAATTTTTATCCATCGCAGAATTTTTCAGCATTAACAGTACAGTGAGCTTATCCTTATCACAATTTTCATTTCGTGATTTGCAAAAAATAAGAAAAATTTAGTGACTAGATTTAGTAACAATTAACATGGCCTCATTATTTTAATAAAAAGTATCAAATGAACAACGAAGCAATTTAAATATTGTTTTTAAAAAGTTTAAATCAGTGTATTTACATTTAGAGTCCCACTTCCCTTTAACTTTGTCCAATATTCTTCCACTTAAATCTCATTATAGCTGAATTAACACTTCAGCAACATCACTTCTTTCTCCTTTCATTCCCTTCCAATTCACAGTGCTAGTGGGTAACACAAGAGAACTTCTTCCCAAAAATAAAAAAAGACCTTTTTTGTGCGTGTCAAGACTTAACAGAAGATACATTTACACTATAAATCATTTTACAGGAGAAACAACACAGTTCCACGCTTGGGTATATTCTATTTAAAATATGACCATTGTTGTCGCCTTGTAAACACAAAATCATGTTTTGTCAATTCTCAAAAAGGTCATAATTTATTTAGTGAGAATTTATTAGCACAAATGCCAATTTAATGATCTGATGAAATATTTCTCTAAATCTGAGAGAGGCGATTCTGTTTTTATTTGGTAGTCGAATTATCTAATCGGCACATTTTGGAATTCGCTCGATGTTCCCTATTATTTGTAATTGTGTCGCTTTTTCCCCAGTATCAGGTCGGTCCGCTCCTCTTCTCAGTCCCCACCCCCAAGGCCCCAGTTGCCCACCACCCCCGCACCCCCCCCCCCGCTGTTCCTTTAAAAAAAAAAAAAGACTTAAGCCTGGCCTCAGTTCCCGTATTTCAAGCCAGGACCAACCAGAAGCCAGTTTTCTTCCACTAATCCGGAACTCCTAGCAGTTACCAATGCTGTCATTGGCCAGCGTCAGTCCTTGGTACGTGCCCCAAGATAACCCCCTGGTTTCTCTCCCTTTTCCCCCTACAAAGGCCTTTCCCAATGTTTGTAACATATTCACTATCCACAGTCCCGCACCTCTGATAACCAACTTACATTCTTCAAAGTTTTCGGGTGGAAACAAGCGAGGCCAGGGGAGGGCAAGGTACCCTTTCTCCGACTCGCTGGGAGGGGGGAAGGGGGCAGTCGTTCTTAGACTTGGCACTAAGCTAGAGCCCCGTTGGCTGTGGGGTCAGGGGCGGGTTGGGGAACAAGGTGGGGGAAAGTAGAGAAAGAGTTGGGTTAAGTTGAAATGAAAAGTTTACTCACCAGATCCTCGAAGCTTCTTCGGTGCTCTTTCCCCTCCCAGTCTAAGCGGCGCGGAATCAGCTGGGGGCCAGAGGAAAAGAAAGGGGGGAGGGGAGCAAACGATAAAGGCTAAACATCCACTCCCCTTCAACCCGACCTAGTTTGGGTCTGTGCCCCCGACCCTTTTGCGTCCGTGTTTCTACCGGCCGGATAGCTACCGCCTCAGAGACGACGGGGGGATGGGGGATAGAGGGAGAAGGCCGAGGAGTAGGAATCCCGAAAAACCGCCTCCCGCAGGCAAAAAGAGGGGGCGAGTTAAGACCCCAGCACTATTTCCCCCTTTTGAGGGAAGAGACCGGTGCACTGCTGTGACAACAGCTGTGAGTGCCCAGATCCAAGCCTCCCTCTCGGCCCCTGCCCTCCACCCGACTTGCTCTACGCTTCCTCCAGTCTTACCTCAACCCTTCCCCTCTTCCCAAAGGGAGACCTTACCTGATGCTCCTCGAGCTCCTGCACTAGCACCTGAGCAAAAGGGAAACATGGATATGAGGAGCAGCTCGAGCCATTAACCCATTCCTCCCTCCCTCCCTACTTAGAACCCAGCAGCTGACGGTCTAGGCCGGCCTTTCCCTCACTCTCAGCGGAGCCACGCAACCCGCTACCTCGATTTCCCCATTGGGACCAATCCCAGCGAGTCCCAGATCTTGTGCCTCTCACCTGAGCGGATTTGTTGCATGGTCCGGACTGCAAGAATCTAGCGATCAGGTAATACAGCTCTGAAGAAAAGGGGGGAAAGAGATTGAGAAGGAGGCAAAGAAAAGAAATAGAAGCTTTTTCAAAAGAAACTGACAGCCGTCGTGCTAAGCCTCCATCCCTTTTGCCCCCGGACACAGCTACCCACCAGCTTCGATCTGGGTAGGTGCCGCCGCCATCCTTTTCCCGAGGGGTTTTGGGGGCTTCGCTCCGAAGAGGCGGGTGGGGGCGCTGCCTCTATTGTGATGAAGCCCCCATGCCCAGGAGTCCCGCCGCTTCCGCCGCACTCCACGTCCCAGTTTCGGTCTCTCTCGGATTCATCGCATCACGTTTCGACCCATAGATATTCTACCCCAAGAGCTGAGGAGGCGGAGGAGGAAGGAGAGGGAGAGAGAGAAGAGGAGGGAGGAGCCCAAGTGGCGGAGTGGTGGGCGGGGGCAAAGGAGGTGGAGAGAGGGGAGGGTAAAAACTGTGAGAGCTGCCTGCAGCGCTCGCTATTCGCCGCCAGAGGCACTAATATGACCACAGGCTTCTACTCTCTTAGACGGCCAAAGGTTGCCTAGCAACCGCTCCCGGAAGGAGGGAGAAGTGTTAATTGACGGCAGACGCTCTGGCAGCCACCGCGAAACTCAGTGGTGGCGTTCTCTTACGCGAGCTCACAGCCGGCTGCCCTTCCTGTTAGGGTAGTCGGATCTTTTCCGGTTGAGGATCCTTTTCGCTGGTCGAGGTGATCTTGAGGACCTTGTGAGGAGCTGACTTGACTCAGCTGTTTTTTTTTTTTTTTTCCTCGCGGCATAAAAACTTTTTTTGATCCTATCCCTCACTGAAGGGAATCTAGCTGCTAAACAGTCTTGTGACTGAGGGAGGAAAGGAGCCCCTACTTCATGGTCACTTGTTTCACTTTAAAAACTGATTTTTGGTACTAGCTAAAAATGCCGTAATGTCATTCCAGAGTAATTGGACGCATTGTTAGAGTGAAAGACCCGTTCAAAAAATGTCCACTAATTATAAAGAAGGGGGAAAAAAAAACGAGAAAACCAAGCCAAACAAACTCTTGGAATCTGACTGCAGAAGGGGGATAGAAGCAAAGGGTAGAGGATGTCCAATGGTAGAGGATTATTGGTACTTAAGTGGTGGGTGTTGTATGGTAACATACACCTGAAGAAGTGTGAACCTATATGTCTTAAAACAGTTGTCCCCAAAAGATTTTTTTTAATACAACTAATAAAAATGGCCGCTGATGCTGACAAATATTTCATGAGTAATTTGCTGGCAGACATGAACCATTTATTTTACCCAACAGTCTTGGGGCATTATTTGTTGTTTTATATATATATATATATATATATAATATATATATATATATATATACCGACGTTCAGTGTTTGGTTATTCAGTCTTCAATGATCTGAGGATTTGTAAAGTAACACATGTAGTAAACTGAGTTTCCTTTCCTACTTTGCCTTAACTTCCTGCTCCCACCTCAAGCCTTAACCAGAAAAAATAATAATAAAAGTTAAGTCTGATGAGAACAGACTTGGATCTTTTTAACTTCATATACTATTTACATGGAAGTATCCAAATTTGAAAATTCACCTTTTAAGTATAGAGCAGAATCCTTAGGAATTTGTTTTCCTCAGGTGCTCAGCTGTTGACCACAATGGACTTAGAATTGCAGTCTGTTGACAAACACTTAGGTTGGTTAGCTCTCACTCTGGCCATATTTTCCCATTATAATGCAGTCTTCACATTAGTTAATTATGATATGACTGGCCTATCTTTAGTCATTATACTACAGTACTTCATGAAACAAATGCCATTAAATGAAAAAAATCAGTTATTGAAGAAAAAGATATAAACTCTAGGCAACTCATTGCAAATGATTCATCAAAACACCAGACAATATATTTTTACACTTCAAATATAATACACATATAACAATTGACATTTACCAAGCCATTACTATGTATTAAACCTTTTCCATGTTATCTAATGAAATCTTTTTTTTTTTCAGATTTTATTTATTTTTGCATAGAACTTGGGTCTAGGCCAGAGGTGGGGGGTGAGAGGATACACCAGAGACAAAGTAGGGAACAGAACAGGTAGATTTACTGAAATACGCTGCTAAGGGGAGCAGTGGGTGAACCAAGAGAGATCTGCTGCACCATGTGGTTAGTGCCCTGGCTGGGGATTGAACTCAGGCCGTAGGGGTGTAAGCACTGAGACTTAACCCCTAGGCTATCAGGAAGGCTCTCTAAAGTAACCTTTACAATGAACCTAAAAGGTAGGTTCTATTAATACCCTCATTTTATAGATGATAAAATTATAACTTTGGACAACTTACTTAAATACTGGAAACTATTCCTCAGCTATAAAATGTGAATAAAAATAGTGGCAATACCTACTTCACAGGAAGTGCTTTTTAAAAAGTCATGTGGGCCTCCCTAGTGGCACAGGGCTTAAAGTCAGCGCTAGCAAGCTGTCACCAGCCACTGTGGCATCAGTTGAATTCCCTAAACCACATGGTACAGCAGACCTTTCCTTTCTCACCTGCTACTCCCCTCAGCATTGTATTTCAGTAGATCCACTTGTTTTGCTCCCCGCTCTGTCTCTGGTGAATCCTTTCACCACCACCCCCCACTCACCTCTGGCCTAGACCCCAGTTATTGTATGCATAAATATATAAAAATAAATCTTTAATTAATGAAAAAGTCATGTGAATATATTGGTGTCACTTTTCAAAATTTGAAAAATTTGGCATTGTTATTTCAGTGATCAGTATCAGCCTGGGTTCAACCAAGCGAGAAAAGGCACACAGTAATTTGAATAGAGAATGTTTAAGATGCAGACCTATTAACAATATCAGGACATTGGGATGATAGGGTATTGTTTAATAAAGAGTAAAGAGAGCACTAAAGGAATATAGAAATTGAAGATAAGCATATGATAATGCATAGTCACTACCCCTAGAGCTGAGATAGAGTACTCTCAACCTCCATATTCCCACCCAGGTCTAAGAATCAGACCTTCTTGGAGAGGTCACAACTGAGGATTATTCAATGGGAGGAACGATGCTATGGTACCTTGCAGACAGAACTTGCTGAACCTCCAACCTCTGAAAATTGCTGGAACTTTCCAGAAGCCCACCATCTGGAATCAGCCCTCTGCAGTGCCTAAGAAAGATGTTCATAGGTAAGTCTCTCACTAGTTGCACTTTATGAAACCACCAAAATGACATTGCCAGGGGAAGCTGTTGGTGCTACCAGAACTATCCACCACAGGAGCCAGGCACGAAAAAGTTGTACTGGCTATAGAAATAGCCTAAGCAGTGATCATGACAGAAACAGGAAGCAAAAACCTTTCTTCTTGCATGCTCCAATTTCCTTTACTGGAAAATTAAAGTTCTAGCTGACAAAGGAAGTATATTTAAATTGCCCAGTTCCATTCTAATAAATCATTCAATAAGGGTAAATTTGGAGATAAGTGACAAAAACCTGGCATAAATTTCCAGTTGTTTTCCTGACTATAATAACTAGTTTGATAAAGTGAAAGTTATTAAAATGTATACATTAAATTAATAACAGGTTTATTCTGCAGAATAAGCCTAGTGCTTAGAATTATTTTATTACAATTAAAATCACCATTCTTAACTCTGTGGCCAAAGGCATAGTAGGGGAGGGAAGGAAAATTTCATCAACTAAACCATGTATAGATTTATACTGAAAAAAAAAATCTGGAATGTTACCTGATAGGCATATTAATTTCTAGGACTGTCTAAACTAATTACCATAATCTGGGTGGCTTAAAAGGACAGAAATTTATTCTATTCAAGTTCTAGAGGCCAAAAGTCTGAAATCAAAGTATCACTAGGGCCAAAAGGTCTAGGGGAGAATCATTTGCCTCATCTGGCATTCCTTGGCTTGTAGAAGTATAATTCTACTTCCATCTTTACATGGCCTTCTTTCTTGTGTGTTCCTATGTTAAAACTCCCTCTCCTTTTTTTCAAGGACATCAGTCAATTGGATTTGGGGCCCACCATAAGTATAGGAGGACATCCTTTCAAAAAGATTAACTTAGTTACATTTAAAGACCTTACTTTCAAATAAGTTCATATTCATAGGTAAATAGGAGTTAGATCATGGAAACCGCATGCCTCAACATAACATTCAACCCACTAAATCATCATTTCTGACTTATTCTGGCTCTTTAAAATCACATTTTTATGGAAGATAAATGTTTAAAATGCAACAGTTCTCCCTAGGATGCCAAAAAGAGAAAGAGAAAGAGTGGAAAATCCTGAGATGGTGGGACAGTAGCGGTAAATAAGATTGATCTCACAAGCATATAAATAAATAATTTTTCCCTTTCCAATCCCAGTTTATTTTTTAAAGCATAATTTAATAATTAAAACAATGTTCATAGATTTTAAACATGTCACATCATAGTATGTTTTTGTATATGCATAGGTGTAAGATGTGTAACAGAAAAAGGAAAAAAAGAAGGAAGATGGAATAATAAAGCTATACAGGAGTAATATTTGTGTATCTCAAAGGACTAAAGTATAGAATGAAGTATATTCTGATATATTTAGATGTATATATGGTAAGCCCTAAAGGAACCACCAGGAAAATAACTAATGAAAAAAAGTCATTAAAATGTTAAAATCTTCCACTAGAAAATATTTACTTGAAGCAAAAGAAAGAATGAAAGGAGTACTAGGACAAAAAGGCATAAGGCATATAGAAAACAAAATTAAAATGGCAGATATAAATCCATCTATATTGACAATAATATGTGAATAGGTCGTTTCCCCTTACAACATGACAGCATGAAGCCCTTTATGGACCAGCTCCCCAGTGAAACTAGTGAAAATTATAAGTATAAACAATAATTTAAATTTTCTGGGGGACCTCCCTGGTGACGCAAGGGGTTAAGAAGCAGCCTATGAAGCCATTTGCAGCCACTGCAGCATGAGTTCTATCCCCAGCCAGGGAGCTACGTGCATGGTGCAGCAGACATCTTCTGGCTTTCCCGCTGCTCCCCTCAGCAGTGTATTTCAGTCATTCCTCCTATCTGTTCCCCACACTGTCTCTGATGAATCCTCTCACCCCCCACACCTCTGGCTTGTACCCCAGTTCTTGTATGCATAAATAAATAAAAATCTAAAAAAATAAAGTTTCTGGGAATAGGGTCCTCCCTGGTGGCCTGGGGATTAAGTCTCAGCACTATCACCGCTATGGCCTGAGTTTGATCCCCAGCCAGGGTGCTAACCCATGTGGCACAGCAGACCTCTCCTGTCTTGCCCACTGTTCCCCTCAGCGGTGTATTTCCATAAATCCACGTGTTCTGCTCCCCATTTTGTCTCTGGTGAATCCTCTCACCTCCCCACCTCTGGCCTACACCCCAGCTCTTCTACACAAAAATAAATTAAAAAAAAATAAAGTTTCTGGATATAGTAATGAGACAGTGTAGTGAAAGAAATTGGGAACCAGTAGGATGAGTTGCCCAAAGTCCTGTTTGAACAGGTACAATAAATCATGGACTGCTGAGCCCTGTCCAGGGCTCAGTTTGGACCACCACACTGACTATAATGCACCATGATGGACAAAAAGTGTTAGATCCGGACTAATAATTATCTCATAATCTCCTGGAATTTAAAGTCCAAGAGCCCCCTTGCACAGCTGGAATATAACCCATCTGCACCTGTCCCTGTGTAGCCCAACCCAGAACAACCTATGATACTGTTCTCCTTCCCCAAGCCCCCACCTAGTAGACTTACCTTTTAATATTTCCTCCTAACTCCCTTTGAGGAGACAGGCTAAATTCTCCTTTCTCCTTACTGGCTCTCTCATGCATGAGTCTCTCTAATAAAGCCTGGTGCTCTTTGGTAAATTCTTTCCCTAAAGGGCAAAGGACCCACTCTTTTGAGGGGGAGCCTGTGACACTAGTGGCTTAAAACAATGCAAAATAATTTATTCAAGAATATTAAAACTTTAAGAAAAATGAAAGTCTATCATATTTCAACCATGTTCCAGTCCCTGGAAAGTGAAATACAGTATAATACCCTCTTGTGATGCTTGACAGTAATAGCAAGTCACAGCTACTAAACACATACTCACAAGGGTAAACAAACAATTCTTCACTATTTTTCACTTTCAATACAGTATTCTATATATTACATGATAATCTTCTTATCACAATAATCTTCTTATCACTTAATTACAAAAACAGGCTTGTGTTAGATTGTAGGCTAAAATAAGTGTTCTGGACCCCTGTAAGTTAGTCCAGGTTAAGCAATGCTGTTCAGTAGGTTAGGTGTATTAAATGCATTTTCGACTTACAATATTTTCAACTTATCATGGGTTTCTCAATATGTAACCAATTAATAAGTTGAACAAGATCTGTTCTTTCTCAGAGGATTATGATGAAGATTACAAAAATTGATAAAGTTTTAGGACACTTTCTAAAACATAATAGATACTATAAGTATAGTTATTATCAAGAACTAACCCCCCGTTTAATGGTGTAACAATATCACTGTCCAGGCACAGCCCAGCAGTGCCAATTAGCACAGGTCAGTAGGCCTCAATGTGAAGGGTCTGGCAACAGTGTACAGTTCTAAGCAATGGTGCTGGTTGTGCCAGAGGCAGGAGCTGTGGTTCATGATCAGAAGTGAAAAAGCAAAGGTCTGAAGAAAGGAACCAAAGGTCTTTATGAGTCAGTTTCAGGCAAGCCTGTGTCCTAAGCTGTTTGCGCCCTGCCCTTTATGGCTTTCAGGGTCTGTGAGTTTTTAAATTGCTTGGTGCATTTTAAAATCTGGCTCCAGTTTCAAAACCAAAATCTGACCAATATGTCAAAACCCACCCTGCATGGGGTAGACCATTTCACACTGGGGTCACAGGGAAGCCAGGTAAGCTCCACTGTGCCACAGAACCAGGAGCCATGGGGCTCCTTTTACTAAACTATACAATAAAACAAATAATATAAGTATCAGAGATTTAAGTACAAAAAATGAAACAATGTACTAGAACGTATGAGAAAAAATATGTTAAAATCTGTGAATGAAGAAACTTTCTAAACTATAGTTTGATATCTAGAAGCAATAAGGGAAAAGATAAATTTTATTATGTATTTTTTAGATTTATCATGGACAAAAGACACTTCAAAACCAAAAAAAAAGCAAAATTGGAAAATATATTTTCAATATATATCACCAACAAAGGGTTAACGTTCCTAATGTATAAAAGCCCATTTTTTAAAGTAGAAAAGAAAGAGATGAACCACAATTAAAATATCAACTAGAGCAATGAAAAGTCAGTTCATGGAAAAAGAAACTCAAATATCTTTTAATTCTCATTCTTTGTAACTCTGAGAATTGGGATTCCCAACATTACAGTAACTGATACAGATGTAAGATCAAAGAGGTTAATTTAAAACATGTGGTCTGAGATTTGAATTTTAAGTATCAATATGAACTCATGAAGTATTTAATCTTTAAAATAAATTCCTTGCTCTGTCCACTGAAAACATCAAGAAATAATGACCAGCCCAGGAACAAGGAGCACTTCTAGTAGCCAGATTGTGGTTTTGAAAAAAAACATTCTCCCTAACATGAAAGTGTTACTTTGAGAAATTCAAGGTTCTGGGCAGGAAATGTACAGACAAACCTGGAACATCTTGTCAAACCAGAAAAAAAAAAAAACTATTAGATTGCTAGTGGCTATGTCAAAAAGAATTTAGGATGCAACTTGAACAAACTGCCACAGGTCAGTGTACTTAAATCTCTGAAACTTATATTATTGAGCACCCATAAGGATAATAACTGTCATGGATTGCAACACATTAATAAATTGGATCATAATGAATTTTTTTTAATGAATTGGTCACCATTGGAGCTGCTAGTAAACAAACTCATTTTGTAAGTTGGAAAGGAAACAACTTTTTCCAGCCTCTCCTAAATAAAATGCATCTTAGCATAAACAAATAGTAGATAAAGTAGTTTGTTTTTGTAGAAGTAGTCCAGATAAAAAAATGAAGAAGAAATGCTACAATTAGAGCATTACCATTTTGCAATTCTAATTACTTAATGTAGCTGGCATTTAACATCAACAACTGTATAATGTCTCAAAAAGATGGTGTCCTTTTTTTTTTTACTTGAATAGTATATTTATTTATCTACATATGTAACATGGGTATAGGTGTACATGTACATATTTAAGTCCAATGGTGAATACACAGAAAACATTTACAAATAAATATAACTAAGTAGATTACAAAAATCCCAACAAATCATAAAAGGCATTTTGTCTATCACAGTGTAATAAGATTAGAATTGGAGAATGTCTACATTCCTAAATTATTCTTGTACTAAAGAAAAATGTGAAAATAAAGGTACAGATTAGGAATGAAGAACAATAAGTGCACATTAAATATCAAAATAAGTAGTGTTGAATTTCAGATGATGACGTTTGGTGTGTGAAGTTCTTGGGTCCCTCTGAGACAGAATTCAGCAGATGTTCCCATTTCTCAGCACACGGAAAATTTACTGAGTAAAGGGAAAAAAAGCAAAGAGAGACAGCTGCATAGACACGGGCAGGTAGTGACCTGCCCATATAATGTTTGCCCTTGATGGAAGAATGTAACACAACTTATGAAATATTCTTGCCTTTTCTGAAATAAACCTGAGCCTGATGAAAACTTTTGTCCAATTATTTATTTATTGGAGATACAGAGGGTAAAGGAACATATTATATGGCACCACTTGGATGTAGTCATCAAGATTCAGACCTTAGGAAATTCTGTGAGACAAGCAACCTTGTTTATTTTTACTATATAAATAAATTACAAGAGGGGAAAAAATGAAGTAGCTATCTACCAATTAAAAGATACAGGAGTATTCTCAAGAAATACCAATATGCAGAACTTATTTGGATCTTGATTCAAACAAACAGCTGCTCAAGGAGTATTATGATAATTATGAAATAGTTGGAAATTTGTCACTGGATTTTTCATTATTTTAAGGAATTGACAAGTGTGTTTTGGTATGTTAAATATAATTGTTATCCTTTAAAGAGAAATAATGAATTATTTATGGGTGATACATAATTTCAAAATTGTTTCAAAATAATCAGAGATATGGGTGGGATTGAGGAATAGATAAAATTAGACCCCATGTACATGAAGTCAATCAGCCTCTTACCAGGCACTCCATTTCCTCTTTATCTTTCATTTGCAGCTACTCTAATAAAAACCTATCCTAGGATCAATTCTACTATTCCCTTTCCTCAGTTCTACCCACAGGTCAACTAGAGAAACTCAAATAGTCATGAAAATTAGTGCTGCCAAAACCTCTTATTTCTCATGACCCCTAAAAATGGAACAATCCTTTATATTTATCTATCTGGGATCCAGTTTCATTTCTCTCTATGATTTTCTAATATTTTACAATCATCATTCATCAGTTCATTCAGTACTAAGTAATGAATTATTATTCCTCTGTATTTTAGAAATCCATCAGTTTGTTGACCAAAAAGTTATGGAAATCTTGACTCAACCCACTCCTAACATTTTCATGTTGTTAAAGAAATGCCATCAGCATTCAGAACCTAAGATCTCAATTATTTTTTTTATTTATTTATCTTCTGTTGAAGTAACTGCATTAATAACATAAATGTCGGGCCTCCCCGGTGGCTCAGCGGTAGAGCGCTGGGTTGCGAAGCTGCCCGCAGCCTCTGCAGCGCCGAATCGATCCCCGGCTGCTCCCCGGCCACCGGAGGAGGGTCCCACATGGCGCGCAGACCTCTCCTGCCGCCTGCTGCTCCCCTCAGCAGTGTACTTCGGTCCTTCTGTCTGTTCTGCTCCCCGCTCTGGCTCTGGTGAATTCTCTCACCCTCCCGCGCTTCTGACTGTACCCAGTGCATGTATAGACAAAAGCAAACAAATAAATAAATAAAAAAGCATGCCTCTATTAAAAAAAAAATAATAACATAAATGTCAACAACCTGAAATATCTGGCACAGTCCTTTTCCACAGGGTTCTAAGACACTCCTTGGTTGAAGACACTAATTCTGGACTACAGCTGATTTCAGAACCTTAAAGAGAGTATCAGATTAAGATAAAAAACTATCTGAAGAACCACTATGGAAAACTGTCTGGAGGTTCCTCAGTCTACTAAAAATGGAGCTACCATATGACCCAGCAATTCCACTCCTAGGGATCTACCCAAAGGACAAAAACATATTGATTCAAAAGAACACCTGTACCCCTATGTTTATTGCAGCACTATTTACAATAGGCAAAACCTAGAAACAACCAAAATGTCCAAGAATAGATGACTGTATCAGGAAGATGTGGTACATACACACAATGGAATACTATTCAGCAATCAAAAAAGATAAACTCATGCCATTTCCAGCAACGTGGATGGAGCTAGAAGGAAGTATGTTCAGTGAAATAAGCCAGAAGGAAAAAGAAAAATATCATATGGTTTCACTTATAGCAGGAATATTGGGGAACCAAATAAGACATCAGTGTAAAAAATAATAACAGTACAAAACACAAGCAAAAACAGACAATTAAAAATCAGAGACATACTGCAGGGGAGGAGGAGGGAGAGGTATCAGAGGGAGGGAGGCAGGAGCATAGGGGACTGAGGTGATGGTGCATGGGTGTATTGGTGAAGGAAATTCTATGGGGACTACACCTGAGGGGGAAGCAAATATTGTTTAAAAATGAACAATGATGTAAAAAATAAAAAATTTAAAAATCTGAAGATGACAGTGACTTAAAATAGCTGTGCCTAATATATTACTGATAAGTTTCAAAAGTGAAAGATCCAGAGAAAGTTCATGACAAGAATTTAACTAACAAGGCAAGTTGGTTGTCTCAGTGACATGCAAAACAATGTAAAATAAAGCCAATCCAAAAAGGGTAAAATTTTGTCTTTGACAACATGGACGAAAGTGGAGGTAATTATGTTTAGTGAAATAAATCTTAAAAGTTCTCATCACCAGAAAAAAATTTCATAACTATGTTGATGTTAACTAGACTTATTGTAGTGATCATTTTGTAATATTTGCAAATATATAGTCATTATGTTGTACACCTGAAACTAAAACAATTTTATATGTAAATTATATCTTAATAAAGCATGGACTAGGGCAAAGATGAAGGAATTATGCAAATGGAATTAATATGCCAAGTTAGTTGATTTTGAGTTAATTAAAGAGACCTGACTTTTGCCTTACTTAATCAGGCAAAAATCCCTTTAAAGAGGTACTCCGGACTTCCCTGAGGTGGAGACTGTCCTGCTGGGTATGAAGATAAACTTCACCATGAGTACTATAGTCACAAGTAAATGAATTATGTCAACAACCTGAAGGAGATAGCAAATGGAACTTTCTATTATAAAGCCTCTGATAGGAATTAAGTCCCAACAACACCTTGATGATATTTTTATTAGACCTTGAGTTAGGTCTGGATTCTGGATTCATGGAACTGAGATAACAAATGTGATTTGTTTAAAACTGCTATTTTTGTATTAACTTATTACAAAGATCTGAAAAACTAATACAATCAATATTAGGAACTGAAGCATACATTAAGCTGATGTTATTTTATAAACACTAAATGGCAGGTCTGTATCTTTCCCAGCCAGCAGTATTTCCTGATTGATCATGACAGTATGGTAGTCCCAAAGTAGTGAGCAAGGGATTCATGCCCACTTGAGAGCTTTGGGCAGAGTCAATACAAAGAACATAGTCTGGCATAAAGAACCTATACAGCAATACACTAGAGACAGTATTCTGCTGTCTCAGAATACTCTATCCAGTATTCTGCTGGATTTAGAAGCAGGGGACGAAAAAAGGTCATAGATTTACTAATAATGATAAAACCTACAGCAAAGATTGTAAATAATTGGGTAGGTGGAAATGTTATTATTGAAATAAAATTAAGATGAATAAACCTGATAGGACCATGGAGTTTAATCATTCTTCATCAAAATACAAGAAACTTTCATTGTTCTTCAATACGTTAGCCAATTTTCACACACTAAGTAATGAATATTCTAAATTTAAAATGCACATTGTGATATCAAAATAAACAATCTCAATTAATATTCATTTGTTAAATTTATGGGAGTTTCTTCTAGGACAAACACACTTCTATTTAAATATTTTCTCCAAATTTGAACTTAACATCAGAAGCTGACTGTAACTAGACAGATGCCTATTGACTTAGCATGTTAGGACCTTTTCCAATTCTGAAAAATGTTACATTTTTTTTTCTTGGCAACATCTTAGAAAAAAATAATAAATAAGTCCTAGAGGAAATGTAAATCAAAACCACAATGAGATACCATCTTACACCAGTGAAAATGGTACATATAAAAAAAAAAAAAACTAGCAACAACAAATGTGGGTGAGGATGTGGAGAAAAAGGAACTCCCCTACACTGCTGGTGGGAATGAAAACTGTTCTAGCCACTATGGAAAGCTGTGTGGAGGTTCCGCAAACTGCTAAAAATGGAGCTTCCTTAAGATCCAGTAATCCCACTCTGAGGGATCTACCCAAAGGACACAAAAACATTAATTCAAAAGGACACCTTCACCCCTGTGTTTATAGTAGCACTATTTACAATAGGTAAGCTATGGAAACAACCCAAATGCCCAAAAATAGATGACTGGATTAAGAAGATGTGGTATATATATATATATATATATATATATATACACACACACAATGGAATAATACTCAACAATCAAAACAGATAAACTCATGCCATTTGCAGCAACATGGATGGAGCTGGAAAGAATCATGTTTGGTGAAATAAGTTAGAAAGGAAAAGAAAAATACTGGATGGTTTCACTTATAGGAGGAATGTAGAGGATCCAAATAAGGGATCAGGAAAAAAAGTAATTATAATAAAGTAAAAATACAAGATCAACAGGCAACTATAAACCAAAGACATTCTGCAGGGGGAGAGAAGGGAGAGGATAAAAGCAGGAGAGGGAAGAGCACAAGGGACTATGGAGATGGTGCACAGGTGAATTGGTGGTGGGAATTTCACAGATGAGAAAGCATACATTGTACAAAAATGAAGAATGATGTAAAAAATGTATAAAGTAAAATTAAAATAAAAACATAAAAAATTAAGTCCTAGAAGCTCAAGTTCTTGTAACTTACATTTGAAGGGCTGTTGCTCACATGGCACTGTGCGGTACTTGTATAGAAATATCATGCTATTGACTGATCAATGGCTGTTTTATGCATAGTTTTCTCTAGAATACCAGGGATTAATTCTGTAGAGCTATTAACTCTGTCTTCACTGACTCACCAACCAACCCTACAACAATATCCATGACAATTCAATCAAATGCATCTCCAAGAAGACAGATCTAGATCAAAACTTCAGTTGTATCTCCATATTGAAACAAAGTTAACTCATCCAATCAGGGGTGTAGCCCAAGGCTGTGGCCTCAGTACTGTTCTGACCCACTCAGGTGACCATTATAATAATTAATTGTATTTCTCTTGAATTTATTAGATATCACTATTTGGTTTGTTATTTTATTGATTGCAGAGATTATAGTATGCATTTTTAATTTTTCATAATCTACCTTCAAGTGATATTACACTACTTCACATATAAGAATCTTACAACTGTATATTTCCATCTTCCCTTCT